AACAACAACTACAGAAAAAAAAACAAAAAAAAAACGTTATTATGTTTATACCTTTTATCATGGCATTTATTACGCCGTTTTCATGGAATAGCACACAAGTGCCTCATTGATTCCATGATAATCGCCATATGAACAAATCTGCGGATGTTTCTAAATTAGAAATTGTTTGTGTTTTTTTTAAATATACTTAAACCGCTACTAGGGGGAGTGGACGGTAATTTGCATTTTCTATGAACAGGCTCGATCAAACCGAGTCTGTAACATCTTCAAATTTAGCGTTCTTTAGGAATTTCAATTTTTCTCTGTTTCATTGACAACGACGAAGATAATTATTCCTTATAATAAAGACGATTACGTGAAGAGGAGTTTGAATAAAAATTTGGTGATTAAAGGGAAAAGCGTTGAACAATGATAATAAACTTTAAGATGTAGCATTCGATAAATAAGTAAGCTATTGTCGGAAATAAAGAAGTTCACGGGTGAGAAACTATGACCCAGCGGATGGAGTTCTTCTGATAACTTGTCGAGAGTTTTTCTGTTAACTGCCACGAAGTTCGTCGGATATCAAAGAAACACTCGTCAAAAATGGTAATTTTCATTTTTAAAAAGAGTGATTGAGGTGCTAGGTTAAACTTTGATTACTATGCTAGCCTTTATATTGTAGTATATGTCCATTTTTCATCACCTCTTGTTCTGGTAATTTAGTACAATTTCCAATTCATTTGCTCATTCGTACATATTGATACTGACAAAAACTGCGTATATTTTCGTTATTACTCAGAACAACTTGCCTGCACTATACAATGCACTAAACCTACTGACATTTTATCGAACATTTTCGTCAAGATGGTGCAATATTTTGCAGGTGCATATCTAGCGATACTTGATTTATGTTTTATTTGTCACTGACCGATTAACTGAACCTTAACGGACTGAAACATCACATTTGGAATTTTACGGACTCGTTAACAAAATACCACGGACTCGAAAATAAAAACGATTGAGATTAAGCTATTGCTATTGTGGGAAGAAGCGTAACTGATGTCGTATGACAGTTTAACTGTCATTGCATCAAAATTATAAATCTGCGACAGCGTTTGAAGCAATATGAATGCAAATAGGATATGACATTCCTTCAGGTAGGCTAAAGGTAGCGACTGCACGCAAAGACTGGTACATTACGTTAACGCATCTACGTAACAAGTTTAAAACCGCTACAAGTTCCGCGAGACAATTTGGCATAACTAGACAAACCTTTTTGAATAGTTTGAACAAGAATACAAACCCAGCTAGGGCAAGGCTGCCACACGTTTGCCAGATTATTGATCCTCGAATCTTTGGGGACACTGGGCTCTACGTCATTTACATTGTACTCTTGTCCAGTGGGCAAGAGCATTTTTAAGCAACGAGTCATGTTTAAATCTTAAAGTAATAGATAGTTAAGTACGCCGTCGAGGTGAGCGTTTTGCAGATAATTGCTTATTGGGACGGATTCAATTTGGTGGAGGCATGGCTATTGATTTTGTGCGGGATAATGGATGACCGGAAAATAAATCTAGTCGTCGTTCCTGGTAACCTGAATATCCAAAGTATTGACACTGGCCTCTGTCGAATGGTCATTCCTTTTCAGCGTCAGCGTCAAAATTAACTGATGCACGAAAAAGCCCGGCCACACACCTCCCTAGGTACAACGTTAACGTGCAACCATGGCTGACTTGCTAACTTGACAAGAATCTTATCGTGCACGTATGGGATCATTTGGAAGAAGAAATCATAGTATTAATAACATCCATGACCTTACACTTGCCCTATAATAAAGTCAAAATTAAAAGTGACTTACTTTGTATTTATTTACAGTTAAATGTGAATATGTACAGCTGATATTATTACCATAGTGATAAGTGGCTGTATGATACGAATATGAGAAATTTCTCGTTCAAGAATAATTGAAGACGACAGGCAAAAAATTAAGTTACTTCGAGTACAATTTGGATATGATATGGGTTTTTATGACTACTTTTAAAACAAACACGAGACTGCATGAAGTGCGATAACAATTTTAATGTTAAACATGAAAGAAAAATGAAAGCACTGCTAAAGTAATATGATCGGCTCCAAAAATATTTGTATTAATTGGAACATCACATGTTACAAATGCTCGAGGGGCACTGGGCACATTTTATTAGGGGTGAAGTAAATAAAAAAAAATATTTTGATTTGTTCTGTTTGAGGATGGTTCTGGAAACTTTGAAGTTAATTTGGTTACACCCCCATTTATTCAGTAATTTTTTTATCAGAAAACGGTAAAACAAATGAATCTCTTTCCAGAAGTAAATGTCGCCTCTTACGATTGACAGGTCAAAAGACAGTAGAAATGTTAAAGGAATAATCTTCAAACATAGATTAATTTATTCAAAATACAACACAGAACATTGAAAATATGATAAGGACAATATTATAAACTTAACTAAAATGCAATTATAATGAAAGGAAAAAATATATAAAACTGCATTAACATGCTCACCTTAAATTTCACGACCTGAAATCAACAAATAAATAGATAAAAATGAAATTGGAGACAGATGTTTGTTTTCCTCTAACTTTGACCATTTTTCATGTCATTTTTAATTGTTTGAACTAATTTCATATTAATCCGAAGATTTCTGCAATGATCAAGTAGATTTTGAATATGTAATTCCCATACAATTATGTTTTCTTAAATTGAAGTTCAGAATATTTTTGTGTAATTTACAAGCTAATTATCAACTTATCCGCGCATTTTGGAATTAAAACACATGTTAAGTCTGGTAAGGAGCCGTGAAAATGTTTGCATTTTTTTCCAATAAAACCGAGTCTGCAAAATTCAAATAGCCGCAGAATATGGTGTCCCGCAAAATACGTTAACAATCTGGCCGAAAAGAATGTATCGCTAGACATTGAACCTGATAGAAAAACGTCACGTACAGCGAAATTTCTAGAAGTTAAAAATGCTAGGTCACAAAACATATTCGTTGAAAGTATTGTACTTCAGATGAAAGGAAGAGAGTTCGCCGCACAACTTGGCATCCTAGTTCAGAATTTGAATGTCGTAGTGGTGGCTGGTTAGAAAGATTAAAAAGCACTATGGCTATGTCTCAAAAATGTCATCGGTGAGTCAAACTCTGTTGACAAAACAGATAAGGATTTTGAAAACTGGCAATCCAGACTCCTCTCCAATTTGGAAAAATATCGGCCTGATAACGTAATCAATGCAGATGAAACTGCAATTTGCTATCGTGCTATGCCTGATAAAACGCTCGACCATGGTGGAAAAGTGAGAAAAAAAACGCTTAACAGCTACGGTTTGTGCAAATATGAGTGGCACTGAAAAATTGCCGTTGCTTTTCCTGGGAAAATTAGAAAAACAAAGATGTTCCAAAATCTTTCGCACCTTTCCTACTCAATATAAAGCAAACAAGAAAGCTTTGGTGTCTGCGAAATTCTTTAAAACGTGGGTCAGAGAACAAGATGAGAAAATACACAGTGGGCGTTTAAAAGCGTTGGTAATTGACAATTACCCGGCACACCAAAAACAAGCTAAAAATATGCATGCTACAGAGCGTGTCTTTCTTTCTAGTAATTCCACTCAACCTTTGGACCAAGGTGTTATTTTTAAAAAAAAACTTGCACTATAAGTGCACTAAAGGAAGCAGGTTGAAGCTAAAAAGATAAAAGCAGTCGATTTCCACTTCAGTTTTTCTGTCCTAGATGCTATTCGTATGATGCGTCATGCCTGGTCTCAGTTCACAAACACAACTATTAAGAATTGCTATCGTCATAATGACTTTACATCTACTCACACAACAGATGTTGAGTCTGAAGATGGAGCTGATGATGATATTCCTTTGAATCAGCTCGGTAGCATCCTTGGTAAAAGGTTGTCAATGGACGATTACGTCAACATAGTCGATAAACTTCAGGCAACTGAAGCAATGTCTGATAATGACATATTGTCTGATTAAATGGATTATCTCAGTAGATGATGATTCCAACAATGACAATACAAGATTTCGACAAAACACGCGACTGAGGCATGTGACACATTTCGAGCATTTCTTGAATCTATAGATAACAACGACCACATCATTTCCAACTTTTTTGTTTTAGTGGTGTATAATTGAGTAAACATTACTATGTGTCTTTATCACATGAACCTTACTGCCGTATTTCAGCTGTTAAACATCGCTAACAAATTGTTAATTATTAATTTTGAAATATAAAACTCGAGAAAACACAATACATGTAGACATCTTTCTTAGTTTATTTGACTTAAATATAAGGTATCCGTATGTCTTTGGTAAAATTGAGTTTTTGACTGGACAGGTTCAAACCCTCATAATTATATCTGGACATTTTGTTATCACGATATGATTTTACGGTCCCGATAACTTCGAGATAACAAGAGTCGACTGTATGTAAATGAGCAGTGTTACAGAACCGTACTCTACTTTGCCTACTTTTTGAGTTAATGCTATTTGTTCAATTTGTTCAATTTTACACTATGAAATTTGTCCGGGACATAATGTAAGATCTCCTCCAACGAATTAAAATTCATGAATGTTGTGTCACGACATGGCTGTTTTTATGCTTTCTGAAGGGAAACATATAGTCGCAACTTTGTTCTTCCGTCCGAATGTCGTCCGTCAGTCCGTCTCATTTTCTTGTCCGGGACATAACTCTGAGACCAAAAGAGGTATCAACATTATTCATTTTTACACTTTGAACTTTGTCCAGGACATAACACGGAAACTACAAGAGGTATCAAAAAGAATCTTTGTATGTAAATATATATCGTTATTAGAATTACAATGCATAAAAACAGAAACTCTGCCTTGCCTTATATTAGAGTTATTGACCTTTGTTCTTATATACACTGTGAGAATCAAATAGAAAGAAGTTTCTCTGTGTCCAAAATTTGTTGGGGATCATCATTCGGTCCAACCGGCTTTTTTATTTTTCAGAAATGACACAAGAAAAGTTTGTTGAAGAAAATACAAATTTTCTATACTCGGAATGTGAACAGAAGTTGGAAAGAGTACATTGCAAGGCACTTAACATAAGTAAAGGTAAAACATTAGAAAAAAAGATAAGAAAATCATATACATGTATTCTAATAAATTGTTTAAATTATATTTTTTCCAATTGAAACCCATTTCTTTACTACTTTATTTTAGCATAAAACTGCATTTAGCATGTAAGACTTCATTCTAGCATTAGACTTCATTTAAGCATAAAGCATTATTTTAGCAGGAAGTTTTCGACAAAGAAAATAAAAAGTCTTATCTAAGAATTTATTCGACTGATGCGATCGTGTCATAGGAGTAAAAGCAATGAGTATAAACTATATTTTGTTACAATATTTAGTCAATTACTACAACCTCTGTTCATCAAGATGTTTCCTTTGAAAATAATTTCTAATCAAAACCTTTGTAAATCAGTTCCACGACAAAAGCGAAGTCTTTGGCCACCAGGTCCATTTGCAATACCTAGGTCAAGTTATGGCTGTCCCGAATCAGGAAGTCGTGGATGGACAAAAAGCGTTCTATACAGAAAGAAACCTGGAAATAATAAACAGGAAGACCCATTGAACTTGTGTGTTAAACTACGAAATGATACAGAACTAGATACAGAAAAATGGATTCCGGGAATATATACAATTTATAGGATTGGAGAGGAATGCCCAGCAGGTTTGTTTTGATTTCCTTTCATCTAATGTATATATATATATAATATATATATATATATATATATATATATATATTATATATATATATATATATATATATATTCACACATATCTTCACTTACGGGGCCCAATAAATAAGACCGAGTTGAGTGGTATTATTTCATGCAGTCAGTTTTTATATACGCCACTATGTAGGCATAAAATGAACATTTTCATACAACAGAACTAAGGGGTACTAATATATATATATCAACTATATATTTTAATTTTACTATAGGTGAAAACATATTGACCAAATATAAAAACCCCATTAAAAATATATACATTTGTGGACATATATCATTTACTACTTAAACCGGCCTACGGGCACTATGTTAGAAGGGTAGCCTACGCCCCCATACATCGTTTTAAACATGCCAGAGTTGCGAGGCCTTATGTATGCCCCCACATTAAATATAAACCCCACAAGTATGGTCTCAAATAGACCGATGCCCCGTAAATGGAGGAATGTGACTGTATATATATATATATATATATATATATATATATATATATATATATATATATATATATATATATATATATATATATATATATATATATTATATATATTTATATATATATATAACATAATATTCTTTTATGATATAAAGCAATTTTCAATTTCCTAAAATTCATGATATTCACGTCACTATTTAAGTTTCTATCATCGCCTCACCCCCTCCAAACAGTGTGGGCAGAATCCTGAATCCATTTACCAATGTAATGCTTTGGTGCGCTATTCTTTGCAGGTTGACTTAATAAAGCTTGCTAAACATGATGAGAATCCTTGTTGTATCATGTAAAATATGATCAGTAAGGATCTTGGGTAAGGAAGGTGATTGACAGCTTAAATTATGAGAGTTGATAAATATGTTATGTAATGGGAGGTATGTTTCTGTCTCCCAAACCTTTTAGGAAACATGTTGTTTTGCCAGGAGTTATCAATGTGAACCATAGTTGGTATATGGCCGGCACGCTCCGCTTCGCTGCACAAAATGGCTGCCATACCTTAAAAAACTATTCTGGCTTTCACATGTCAAACTCCTGGCGGGATTTGGACGAAAGTTGAAAGGGGTGATCATGTCCAACCCTTATTGTGCATATAGCCTGCATGTTTTCTTCAAAGCACAAAATGGCCTCCAGTGCAGAAAAAAGAAAAAAAAACGTGCCCGCCTTTCACAGGTAAAAATAACAGTGGTGAATTGGAGGAATTGTCACAGGAGTGGTCAGAACCAAACCTTGTTGTACATATCACCTGCATTCTCTGCTTCACTGCACAGAATGGCAACCAGAGCTAGAAAAAGAAAAATGTCTGGTTTTCACAGGTCAAACCTCTGGTGGGATTTACATGCCGCTGTTCCATCCTCAGAGTAGATAGGTGGGAAACATATGTTATGACAAAAATACTTCTTCTAGTTTCTAATTTATTTCGTGATTATTGTGTTTGTGTACACTACGCTATGCATTAAAGCATCTGCTTTCAAATGATATGAAAATGTGTAGTCGACTGAATAATTTTTTACATTGCAAAATACCTGAAACAAGAAACATCATGTACAATAAGACTGGTAAACGCTCAATTAAAAGTGCTTAAATACAGGCTATCATAAAAGCTCGAACAAAACTAGGACAATCTGCTATAAATGTTATTTATTATTTTATATATTAAGACAACAATGAAGTATCTTATGCGACTGTCTTGAGGTGGATGCATAAACTTAAAATAATGGACAAGTATATTAAAATGCCTGTTAATCTGGTAGAAAATTCTACATATATACTTACAAGAACATTCAAGCATATGACTGACAAACAAATGCTAGATTTTTGCGTATCCATAAAGCCAACGTCGCAAGGCTACCAAAAGGGTCAACTCATGCTTCTGAAGAATCACTTGATAGTTAAGCTAACGACTGGCCCATTTGCTAAAATCTGACCAGAAAAAGAAGCCAGTAAAATGCGCTCGAAAATTACTGAAAAGCTTCCTAAATATCACAAATGTTTCTTATGTTGTGACTTGTGATGAAAGCTGATTTTGTTTGTTTGTTTGTTTGTTTGTATCATTTTACGCCTTTTCCCAACAGTATTTCAGTCATATAGGCGGGTAGTTTCCTAACCATCGTTCCTGGAGAGTTACACCAGTACTAGACTACCTTCCTCCGCGCTAAACTACCAAAGCATCTCCCGGGGATCGAACCCACGCCAGAGAGGTAACTGGATTAGAAGTCATCGACTCTAACCCCTCGACCACGGAGGCGGTTCAATTGTTTTACGCTAGTATGCAAGTGGTCCATTAAACATGTTCGTCGACCATGCATTGCCAAGCGATTGACGGGTGTAAAGAAATATTTGTACGTTATTGATGTCAAAACTCTGGAAATGTAGTTCAATATCATGTTTCTAGAGGCCGTTCTGTCACATACAAGTACTATAGAGTTGAAAGAAGAATTGAAAAACACTTCAATAAAGAGTGTCCTTCGACTGGTTTCAAAGGTCTGTATGTTCTGCATGACAACGTTCCTGCACACAAATCATTTACTGTAAGTGCTTTTGTTCGAGAGAAAGGAGTGCCTGTCCTTTAACATTTACCATATTCCTCAGACGAAGCAGCTCTTTCATAGACTGAAGAAAAAAAGTATTGCAGAGATAAAATGGACTTCGGTCGGCTTTTTCTTCGGTTATCGAAAGGCATACCTAAGAAGGACTAAGTTCAATCATTTGAAAATTTGATTAAACGTCTAGAACTTTGTATTTATGAGAAAGCTTTATTACATATTGTCACCCCTCGTAGATATTGGCCATTTTGATAAAGTGCTCGGAATACATGTATATAAGTGATTGGCCTCTTTATTTCAGAACATATTTCCGTTGAAAATCTGCAAATTAAGAGTGATATAAATCCTTTCATAAATCGAATATAAGATATGGTCTTTGAATTAAGTAATGTCCGGAAATTTGTTCATACACCGTTCCATTCTTTCTAATGGCAAAATATTGCTGCATTTATCTATTTATTTATTTGTTTATGACATGCATGACACTTATCAATAGAGTGCTCATGATTATTCAAAATACCGCTCTGGGCCCTGTCAATCAAAAAGCATAGTAACGTTAGGATATGAAGCACAACGATATTTATGTTCATGTTATTTAATGGTATTTCTACTTGCTGCTTATACCAATAATACGTAAATCTACCTTTTTGATCATTTGACATACTATTCAGGTAAATTGACGTAAAATGACTGATTTTCTGGTAAATATGTATACTATAGTTTATAACATTTAAATATATATATATAATACTCGACATGATTGAGCTGTTTCCGATAAAGATGAAAATAACTTTTTGAACAGTCAAACATCTGTTAAAGACCCCATTCGAATAGAGATCACCAAGTAAATGAAGACCACTCTTCAATGCTCTTGATTGGTTAGAGAGAACAAAATAACCCCAAAAATAAAGTGCACGTGTCTTTAAAAGCTATGTTATGTATTCCTCTTGGATGACCATTGTTCACAAATTTGTTTTACATTTATCAGTTTATATCTTAACCCGCAAAACCTTGAAAAGTACACTCAGTGTAAGAATGAAAAATAAACAATCAGAGAAATGTGAATACATTATTTTATTCTAGGTTTTAGAGAAAGCACAATACGAGAATCCTGTCTTGAATATGATTCATTTGGACCTATTCCAAATATTACAGAAAAAGGTATGTCTTGTTATCCTAATAACTTTACCACAAAGTGCAAAATTTCAGCTAACGTCCATAAAACATTTTGTCATGAACAACAGCTGCTTAATGTAACTTTCAGAGCATTATGGTAACTCAGTGATTCAGATTATTTTATTTCTCAAGCTTATCTGATCATGTTACAAACAAACCTTTTATAGTAGGATCGTTGTCGAACACCAGCAACTGTCGAAAACAGGATAAAATCTATTATATGTGTTAACATTAAAAAGTTAATGCACCTGTGTCCTTGCATAAACATCTGCAGATTATTGAACGCATTTAAAACCTTAGTCCGCAGTGTGAAGGTTTAAATCAGTCCAAATGCTTCTGCAGGTGTGAATTCACGAAAAAGGGAGGATTAGCGCTATTCTTGTATAAAAGTTTTATTCCTAAAATAATGTTAATTGTTCATTAGTTGTGCTTACTGCTATAATTATGACATTCATTTGCATTTAATCAAATATGCAATTTTGTCAATATATATATTAAGAACAGGTGAATTTTCTTATGGTTTTTCTTTGCGTGTGGGTTTTCTTTTACATTTCTATTTCAGAAATTGAAAAGGAAAAGATATTAGAAATAGGCACTTGCAAAAAGATCGGTAATAGTTTGAAGGGAAACAAAAGGGGAAATAAGGCTACATACAGAATGTTAGAAACGTCTTTTATTGTTTTAAAGGTAATGGCAATGTAAATAAATTCTCTTCTAATTGATTGCACAACATTTTGATTTTACCCTTGTATTTTATCACCATATGAATATTTTAACAAATAATACAAATTTCAGTGCAATTGATGAAATAATTGAAACTAAGATTTTTATGTTATCAAACAGAAATGGTGAAGCAGATACAATTGTACTGAAACAAAATCATTAGAATAAATTAAGAGTAAAGGTTACTTTATCAATGACAAATAGAATCTCTTTTAGTGGTACACCGCTAAACCATATTCGTGTATATAAAGGTCTCTTCTAAAAGTAAC